ATATTTTTATTATATTTATTTATATTGGGAAAACATGTATTTAAAGGCTATCTTTTTCCTTTACTAACAACTTAGAGTTGTCTACTCCTAGTTTACATTTAATAAAGTTTTCCTTTAACTAAGATACATAATGAGAAATGACTTCCAAACATTGCATATATTATAGAAGTCTTATTTGTTCAGTGTTTTTATAAGGAGTTTATTGGTAATCAAGCTCCATGTTTTTAGTAAATTTTTTGGATTTCTGGATGAACTAAAGATTGCTTGTGCTTGTGTTTGAGTGTTTCTATTTAAAATAGTCTTGAGAGGCATGTTGTACTTTAAAATTCTATATTTTGGATCCATTTTTTTGCAAAAGAAAAAAATTTTCAAAAAAGAAAATTTTCAAAAATTAAGGATGTATGGAAAAGAGTTTTTTTTTTTTTTTTTTGCAATAAGCTGAAATATATGAACTAATTAGTTGATTATGAAACAAGAGAAATATGAAATTGAAAAATACTTCAACTTTTACAGAAAATAAGCAAACGATCTATTTTAGAATAATATCTATCTATAACTAAGATAATGCTGAAAAATAAATTAAAATAATTTATAAAATCTCAAAAAGAAGAATAGATGAAATAAAATTCAAAACATTCTACTCTCATCTTTAATTTTGATAAACAATAGAAACTTTGAGTAATTACAAGAAGCAAGTTTTAATAATAACAAGTAGTTTGGAGAAAGCCGATTCTAAATGATACTAAAAGATATTTTAAAATAAAGCACTTTGAATATTTCAACCTCTTTAAAAATCAAGAATCAAAACTAGACTAGTATCAAGTATGCATAGAAGATATAAAAATAGAAAACCAATATATAATTGAAACAAGTATAAAGAAAATACCTATAGTTTCCTACCTTAATACAAAAAAGTTTACTAAAAAAGCCTAAATAATAGAAATTCTAAATCCCAAGAAAGTTTTGAAAGGAATGATATATAGAACAATATATAGTAATCAAGTAACCATCTCAAATAAAAGAATACTATAGATTAAAGTAAAGAATTGAAAAGAAAATATTATCAAAAATCATATAAAAGAAGGTGTTTATAAAATCCATTTGATTGAAATACTTAAGTACAATAAAAAAAGAAAAGAACTAATAACCTGTTACTTTGATAGATTACTTATAAACTATAGAAGTAAAACAGAAAGATAGAAACAGTACAGATATAGACAGAAAAGATAGAAAGAGAAAACAAGTTTCAAACTAAAGTAGTTGATTAATCTTTATTCACTAAAGTAGAATTAGTAACAATAATAACTATACTACTAATAGTAATAGTAAACAATAAGATCAATATCCATATATAGTTAAGCCTATATTTCAAAGTGAAACTATAAAAAAGAAGGACTCTAGAATGACTTACAAAAGATAGTTAAAAGAATAAAACTAGTTTCTATAGATATAAATATTGGATCTTGTAAGAAAAAAAAAGCTAAATCTTAAGCTTATTAAAATCAAGGTATATTTTAACATTCAATATAATGAACAAGCAGATATTCTTTCTAAAGAAGTGATAAAGTTTTCAATAATAAAATAGAAAAATCTTGTCTTACTCAAAATTATCACAGAAATAAAATAACAAGATACAGTGCTAAATATCCCTATAAGACAAGTTATAAAAAAAATAAATAACAAAGTAATAACCTATTAATAAATAACTCAAGATAGAACTAAGAAGAGATGGAATCAATCAAATTAAGACCAGTACATATACACATGTGATCTAATATGGAAACAATTAAAGAATAGACATATAGTATATGGAATACTTTCTTTAAGAGCTCACAAGACAAAAGTTTTTTTGTCAAATTGATCAATAATAAGTTATCAATATTAATTAAACTGATCATAAGAAAACCAGATCTTTATAAGTAATTAAAATATATTATATGTAATTAGAAAAAAGAAACAATAGAATATTTACTAGAATGTTTAACTTATAAGACTCAATAGAATGAGGTATAACAAAAAGGAATAGACAAAGTTTTGAAAGAATTCAAAAAGCTCTTAAAAATAAAAAAAAGAAATTTGAAGAGAAAGAGTCAATCTTAATGATAGATAATATGATAGAAATAGAAGAGATTGATAAATAGATAGCAAAATTAATAAAAAAGATCTAAGAAACTAGTTAAAATATACTTGACTTTTATATAGAACTAATAGAAGAAGATCTAATTATAAAAATAATAGATCTGAAGTGTTACAGTAAGAGAGTCAGAAAAGAGACAAGAAGATAGATAGTGAAAATATAAAAGAAAGTACTATATATAGTTATTTTAAAAGAAAATATAAAATGTTTGATATAAAAAGGTAATTAAATAAAAACAGATATCAGGAATCTACAAAAGAAACAAGATAAAAAGTTCAATATATCCATAGAGTTAAAAAAGTAAGATCAAGAGTATAAAAAAACTATCTATAAAAAAATCAATATATAAAAAGAAAAGAATTAAAGACAAAAAGTTAAAAGAAATCTTATTAAATGATATAAAGTATAATATGAAGTGATTGGATTTTGATCTCTATTAGAACTTAAACAAGTGACCTATAATAATAACATATAGGTAATTATATTAGAAATTAGAAGGGTCTTTACCAGAACTACTAATAGAGCAATAAATTATTTTCAAAGTTATACTTAGAGAGATAATAAAATCAAAATGAATAAGTTTACAAATATTTAATAAAGTATATATAACTAACCTAACAGAGAATAAAAAGATAAAAAAATAAATAAATAATTTTTTATTTTGTTATGATTATATAGGAATTATTGATTATAATAATAAATTTAATATAATATAATTCATATACAAAAAAGATATTTGCAAGAAGTTTTGATATTTCTAAAATAATAAAATCTTATTATTCTCCTTAAACCAACTTGAAGAAACTTTAAGAATCATCATTATTTTCCTTTTCTCTTATTTATAATTCTTTTTAAATGAAATCTTACTTTTTAATAATCATAAAAGTCAAAACAACATTTTTTTTATTAATGAGAAAAAAATTATAAAAAGAAGAAAAACTAATATATTATTATCTTATACTATAGAGAAATATTATAGAGTTTTATTATAATAATGAAAAACTTATATCTACTCTCAAGTTATTGATTGGAACTTTAATAGTATTTATTTCTAATTTTTTTCTAGAGAATTTTGCTTACTTCAGTTTGATTTTAAATTTTGGATAGTATAAAGTTTCTCATATTGTGATTGGACAAATAGAGCTCTTATTAGTAAAAAAATATAAACAAGTTTATGTTGATCTCCTTATATATTTGAATACATTTTCTTAACTATATAAAAATCTAGGATTTACTATAAGTTATTGGATTGATGTAAGTGAATATAAAATACTTTTCTATTTATATTATTGATTTCTTTTAAAAAGAGTCTACCTATTATAATAAAGGTCCTAAGATATTACAATTGGATTTTATAGTTATAGTCATCTACTTTTGTTTACTAAATAGATTTTTTCTTTAATCTTGTCAAATAGATAAAAATTTGAAATAAAAAGTTTCTATAGTAAAGTTAAGTCTATATGATTAATAAAATATAGAAAGTTAAAAAAATTTTTAAGGACAATGTATCTTATCTAAGTATATATATTAAGTAAAATCTAGGAAAATTAATAAGTCTTCTTTCTTAGTACATAAATTAAATTGATACAAATAATTTTTTCTAATAATAAGCTATTTGATAAATTAGAATAATTAAGATTTTACAATATAGAAATGTTGAAAGCAATAGAGAAACAGATAATATTCTCTTGACTGAAAAAGTCCTTGAAGAATAATCAGTCTATAGTATTAAATTATAGTAATAATACAAATTCTAATAACTTGCAGACAATTCTAGAAATATTTTATTAGTCACTATTTCTTATATTTGCATTATGTCCTAACTTGAAAATTCAATAAAATAAAATTGAGTCACAATTTCAAAAAACAAAGATATATAATTAAATTAAATTTTTTTTTTTTTTTTTTTTTAAACTGCAACTGGTATTAGATACAAGCTTTATTAAAGAATTAACTTAATTTTGATGGATAACTAAATCCTATAGCAGTTACATCAATCCTCTTCTACAAGTCATATATTTCTATATCTATGTAGCTTAATGATAACCTATCACGGTTTGTCCTAGATGGACCTGCAACCACTCTGTGAGTGGACAGATCTAGCTAGGGGCCGGATGGTCGAATACACAGTCATCAACGGTGAGTCAGGCTAATTTAATAATGAGCTTTTATAAATTTTTGTATTATATTCACTAAATTAGGCTGTTAGTATGTACCCGATGAGATATTTAATACCCTTCAATATTTCCAGATATATTATTCGCTCAGACCTCGGAAGAGGGCACTTTCCTTCTTTGTCACCACCTGTGGCATCGGATCAATTCCTATTGATTGATTTTCAATTAAGCGGAGCACCAGATTGGAATATCCTGAGCTAGGAGAGTGGAGATCCTGGAGATTGCCAGATCAAAGTGGGGTTTTAGGGCATTGTGGGAGGCTAGACCAGAAGTCTTTCTTCATGCAATCCTTCTGGTAGTACGACTGTAGATCTCAGCCCCTGATCGATGAAAGGCCAGAAGTCCCATCTTCATACAGCCTAACCTGATTAAAACTTGTTTCAGATGATTGGGTATGACTTTCACAAGATAACTGGTCAAACCTGATCAGAAAGATAATTTTTGATTTTGGTCCTTAAGTGGTATTGAACTACAGACCTTGTGATTGCAACCTGGGAGCACTACCACTGTACTATTGACCCACAGATCTTATAATTAAATTAAATTTTAAAAACTTCAAAAAATATTATTATTATAAAATTATTATATTTTTAATAAAATAAGTTTATTAAACAAAGTTCAAAATTAAGTTTTTTTTTATTATAATCAAATAAAAAAATTCTTAAATTTTTAGATTATATTAAACTTTAATTCTTTAAATATAATTAACAATATGGTTTTTAAAAGTCAAAAAAAAAAAATATTATAATTAACAAAAATTTTTATCTTTATATAAATTAAAGTTTTTATATTATTATATAGTTGCTTTCAAAAGTTTGAGTTCATTTACTATATTTTTATTATAAATTTCAATTTTATACAATAAAAAATTATAAAATCCACATATATATTATATTTTAATACTAGTTTTATTTATTATTATTATTTTTTTTTAATCTGCAATCATGCTACAATAGCTTGTCTTTATTGAAAAATTAAAGCGAATCTATAATAATTTATAGACTTTCACAAAGTGACTAACTTGTTTTTATATATAAGTATCCTAAGTCAGATTTTGGAGACAATATTATACTCATTTGATAAATGGTAATAACCTCTATCTATCAAAATCATTGTCAACAATTTGTCACTATTAATTGTCTAAAAACCATTAAATTGTTAAATTAAAAAGAAGAAAGAAAAAAGGAGAAAATGATTAAAGAAAAAAAACAATTCAAGACCTATTAAAAAAATTCAAAAATAAAAACAATCTCTTCTCAAAAGGGATCTGCTTGATTGAAATAGTCTTCTTTCTTTACTTAAATCTCAAAAGAAATCTTCTTTTTCATCACCTACAGTACTGAATGAGTCAATTCAGCCAATCTTTTATTTAAGTGAGACCAGATTGGAATATCTCAAGAAAATCATTTAGATCTTAGCTTTTTTCCATTAAAACTTGAAGGACTTAAGTAAAAGATAAGAGTTTGCAATTCATATTACTCATCACTTGATCTTTTGATATCATAAAAGTTTTTATTAAAGAACTTGAGCTTTTGAAGGCAAATATTTATAAAATCTTCTTTTTAATTATCAATGTTATTATCAGAACATGTGAATGTGATCAATAGGTGTGTGTTTATATTCTAAAACTAATGTGTTTTATATTAGTCAATCACTTTTGATAAGGATTTGTGTTACTTAAAATTCAGGGTCAAATTGAGGTAGACAAAATTTCTCAAAAAACCATAAAAGTAGAAGCTCTAAGAGAGTCAAGACAGTTAAAAAGGGAGAAAATAAGTTTTTTTAATACAGAAAATCTTTATAAACCTCTCATCTCAAAGGTTAGATAGGTCTTCAGGTACTTCACAGTCAGTTCTTCTTTCTTTGCGAACTTTTTTGCCATTGATATCAAAGGTGTTACTTGATTTATCATGGTTACTAGGAGTCAAGTTTTTGAGTAAAAAGGTTTGTAAATAAAAGAAAAAAGATAGAGGTAACTCTTGAAGTCATATTTCAAATTGTTTTAAGAAAAGTATTAAGATTTTATTAGTAAAGAACTATAAATACTTCTTGCAAATATCTTTTTTATATGTGATTAAAGAATTAATGGAAAGTATTTTTTTTTAAATTTTTACTAATTGTTAAAAATTTTTTTTCTTTATCAAATTTTTACTTTGATTGATTGTTATTATAAATTATATGATAATTAATAAAAAAAAACAAAAATATTTAAAAAATAATAAAACTTTAAAATTTATTAATAAAAAATTTTTTAAAAAAATATAAGAAATAAAATAAGTATTAAAATATAATATACAGTATATAAATTTTATAATTTTTGATTGTATAATTAATAATTTAAAATTATTAATGTTAAAATTTATAATAAAAATATAATAAGTGAACTCAAACTTTTAGAAGCAACTGTATAATAAAATAATACTTAAAAAATTCAATTTATTGAATGATCAATAAAATAATTTTTTTAATTAAATATAATTATTGAAAATTATAATATTATTAAATTATATAAAAATTTGAGATCGAATTTATATTATAGTAGTAATACTTCCAGGTTATAATTACAAGATCTTAAAGTTAATACTATACAAGAACCTATAAAATATCTTTTGATTGAATTTACTAAATATTCTGTAAAAGTCATTTGAATTCTATTAAATTTAATTAAATATAAAGATAAAACTTTTGATTTTCTATTAAATAAAAGCCAAAACTAAAAGTTATATTATTAAAAGAATTATATAAAGAAAGGCTTTTGATTTAATTAATCCATATATTCTTTAAATTGAAATTCAAACTATACTAGTAAATTTCAAAATTCTATTATCCTAATTTGAAATATTTCAATTTTATATTTATTTAAATAAAAAACCTATCAAATCAGAACTTATTTATAATATTATAGATAATAACAAAGAAGATAGAAACCCTTCTAAGGTTCAAATAAAAAATATTAAGATATCTGGATATATAGTATAGTAATTAGACTAATATATATATATTTCTGAAGCTAGCTTCATCTAAATAATACCGTTTGTGACTCGTATCAATCATTCAACTCCTAGGCAGGTCTATCCACTCTTGCAGTGACTCTTGACCTGTCTAAGTAAGTCATGATAAGTTATCATTAATCTGTATAGTTTAAATAACATCTCGCATCTAATACCAGTCATGGTTTAAAAAATCATATTTAAGACACTGCAAATTATTAATTTACAATAGTGTATTGAATAAATTTATAAGATCGTCTAAATTTTTACTTTTGATATCATCGAAAAGTAATGAACGTGGTAAATTAAAATATTGGCGATGTAATAATTCTAAATTTCTTCATTCTAGAATACATATTAACTATCGACTGCCTGCATTAAGTGTCTTAGACTTAATCACTCTATACATTGAAGGACCGCAAAGGTTAATATAAGGAGTTGCTTGTATGCCTCCCGAAAAATTTAAACTACATAATTTAAACAAACAAAATATATATTGTACCAATCCTGGTGCAAAGTATAATAATACAACGCGGCTTTTGGTCGTGGGAATAGAAAAGAAAAGAAAAAATAAAATAAATAAAATAAAATAAAATAAAATTAATATTTTATATATCAAACTTTTTTGATTGCTTTCTCAATTTCCTCCTTTACTAATTCTCGAGCTTTTTCTATGCCCTCCTTGGATCCGATGAAAATCACAGCATCATCACCATTCACTTTCGGGACCTCGACCATGCATCCACTCTCATTGCGGATGCGGCCAATTGTAACTCCTCCACGACCAATGATGCGACCGTGTAAATTAGAAGGGACGGTCAAATAACCCTTGTGAGTGAGCCCTCGCTGTTTGTGGTAGAAAATCATTAAGTTAGATCGAATACAAGGTAACGTCTACCAAAATAGTGTAGAGAGAAATTAATTTTACCTCCTTCTCTATTAGATCGGTTATATATTTTTCAGCACGTTCAATCTGCAGTCTTTCACCTTTCAAGCTCCATGTAATTTCCCCATCATCACCGTCATCATAATTTTTGACAACATGCCATTCGAAATCATCTTCATGAGACGAATCACCTCCATTGTCGTCATCAATTCGTCCATTGATAGTCGAATTTAAATTTCTAGGGAAAATTTCATCCGGTCTTTCATCACAACATTCCAATAAGACATGGTATTCATTCAAAATTTTACGGTATACACCTGAAGATATTATTTTACAAAATTTACGCGGAATACTCATAGTAAGATCACACGGAATCTTGGACTAGTAAGGTGTAGTCACAATATTAATTAAGGTTTAGTTTACTTGCACATTCAGACTAATAGTTTTTATAAAATCTTACCATTATCTCTCCCTTAGCAGCTTCAACATCATCCGCTTTTCCAATAATTTTCACGGCCTCTTCACTATTCTCCATTTCCTCATCAACTTTATGAGCAGGAAAGGTATCATTATAGGAACGGGAACCAGGGAATAGGATTTCCACATTAAATTTATTCTGGATTTCCCGAAGTTGAAGTCCGCTGCGTCCAATAATAACAGGATGATGTTCACGTGGAATCTTAACAATTTCAATGGTGAGGTTGTTCTGTGTTCATGAATAAAATGATTTTAATAGGTATTCATATCGCTCGCAGGACCATTACTAACTTCAATTACCTGTTCTTCGATTAGTCTCTCGAGTTCGGCCTTCACCTTTTCTACGAGGTCTTTCTCACCCTTAAGGATCACTTCATCACTATTGCTACCTGGCTGAGGGAATCTCACAATACCGACTTGACTACCTCTTTCTTCAGGGCCACCGGCTTTAACAATTATTTCACGGATTCGAGTGCCACTATAACCGATTAAATATCTGTGATGTCGTGGGTCAATTTTCATTATTATGGTGATCTGTTTTTCAAGATCCTTTACAATGTCGAGGATCATATTTTTGGCCTTAGCAATATCCCCTTTTGTTCCTTGAACGACAACATTCACAACTTGATTCTTTACATCCTCCTCGGGTGGTTCTGGCTTCCCAAATTCTATACGAGTAAAACTCGAATCTTTGATATCATTGATTCGACTACCATTGCGTCCGACGATGTGTGGAAGATATTGAGCGGGAACTGTAAAACTATCGGAATTCGAATGTTCCCTTTCGTAATCTAGTAAATCTAACAACTCTGCCTTGGCGTCATTAACCCCTCTTTTCCCTCCTTTAACGATGACTTCATCAGCTTTTTGTGCATCAGCGTCGATGGTATCACCTTCGATTGAATCTCTAGATTTTGGAAAACGAATATGAACCCCGTATTTTTCTTCAAGGCGTTTGACGTAACGACCTCTAAAACCGATCAATGATTTGTGATGTTCCGAAGGGATTTTAAGGTGAACTATGGTGGCATCCTGTAATTTATCCACGTGGTCCAGAATTCTTATTTTCGCCTCTTCAACATCATTCTTTTTACCTACGATAGTGACTTTGACCGATTCACCAGGGGTAATCCTTTTTTCTTCATTCCTGCCACCCTCAATATCAATCCTTACGTTATAATGATCCTTCAACTTGGTAACTTGTGCACCACCTTTACCAATAATATGGGCAGAATATTGAGCTGGAAAGGTAAATTCAACGGTGTAAGAATTCATTACCTATTTAAGACATAAATATATAGAATTCAATTAATCCAGTGATTTTGAAAAAGATGAAGTATGAAGAATTGAATAACACTAACTTCATTATGTTTTACATCTTCAACAACTCGGTTTATTTCTTTTACTACCCTTTCAACTTCTTCAGTTGGACCTTTAATTATCACCACGTCATTCGAAATAGGCACTTGATCGAATTTTTTCCCTTCGGCATTGGCAGAGCGTTCTGCCGCGCCAGTTCTGGAGGAACCGAATTTTACAGAAACTGGTGCGTCACTGCCTCCCGTGATGCCGTTTAGTGTGGTGCCTCTTGGTCCAATTATATGTCGATGAAATTTGACGGGAATGTTAAGAGTTTGCGTCGCGAAATTAGACTGAAACAATTAAAAAGATATTGGGTTCATTAATTATTTTGGTCGATCGTCGTAAATAGATTCGTGAGCATACTCACAGCATCTTTACCGGCTTTTGTCAGTTCAACTTTAACTTTTTCCAAAATTTCACTAATACTTTCTTTTTTTTTATCATTCGAGTTTTCCTCATCATGTTTGCTCTCATAAACAATTAGGATATCAGGACTTTCGTCCTTTTCATCAGGTACTATTATTTCGACGCCATAGGTCTCTTTTACACGCTGAAGGTTTTGTCCTTTGCGTCCAATAATATGCCTGTGAAGGTGTGGCTCGATGGTGGCAATAGCAAAATTACTTGGGGGCTAAAAGTAAGTGAAAATTTGTTGAAAAATTGTCCAATTTAATCCAATCTCATTTACCATTAATTGAATTTGCATACCAAATTTTTTACGATCTCAGTCACATCCCTTCTCGCGCTTTCTACGTTGGTTTTATAAGTGTTTTCTGAGTCCTTAGAAACTTTACAAATAAATTCCAAAACCGCCCCCCTCTCCAAAGCTGAACCTTTGGGAACAATTATTTGAACATTGTGATCTGCCTCGATCTTTTTGAGTTTTCCTCTGTTTACCAAATATTTTAGAATATTTTTGGTGTGTTCGTGACCAGATTTGTGTAAATGTGCAATATCAACCATTTCAACGTAAACGGAATTGGCCTTCTCCATCACAGCCTGAAGGGCCTTTGAAAGTTGTATTGGAGGTCCGCGAATGGTTACTTTCTCGGATGGATCGGATGGCGGCGAAAGTTCCAAGGAGCACTCGGTCGTTTCAAGAATTTCATGCAAGTTTGCACCCTTCATACCGATAAGATATTTGTGCTGACACTTTGGAATATCGACAGTAAGAGTACGGGTGTTGTTTTTCTATTAAATGTAATCGAGTGGAATAATTAGAATAATTTCTTCTAATTCATTCAACCAAGAATTTATTTACCAAATTGATATAAATCTCCTCGATCGAATCGGTAGCCCTCTTCACAGCATCACGTTCTCCGGTGACAGTAATGTAGTCTTTGACTGAAAATTCGTGACCTTCCGCATTTTCAATGGTGGCAGTATACGGAGGAACAGATATTTTTGTTCCGGTTTCCGCGCTAATTTTTTGGATTCGTTTGTTGTGAGCACCCGAAATTAAAGGGTAGAATATATGCTCGATATGAACGATACGGTGATTGATTGTCTAAAATGTTAAACCGTGAATTTTGTATCTATAAACAAAAAAAAAAATATATCCCATCCTCAACATGCAAGACAGATTCGTACCCTTTCATTAATGATAGCTTCAATTTCAGCCTTGGCTGCAGACACTCCTTTCGCGTCACCTTCAATCTTAACCTTCATCGTTTCTTCTTCGTCGTCATAATCCAATCCCGATTTTTCCTCGGAATTTTCCGGACGAGGTGGTAATTGAATACGAGTACTTGTCTTCAGGGTAATTGCCCGCAAAGTTTGACCGCGAATTCCGACAAGATGGCGACGTGCGGAAACCGGGATATCCATGGTTTCTTCAACCTAAAAATAAAGATCTAATTTATTAACGAACGCGTAAATGCAACTAGCATAAATTGATCTGCAGTTTGCATGCCCCAAATTTACCTTAATGGCTAGATTGTCTAGCAGTTCACGTTTCGCTCTCATCACGTCCTCTTGCTTTCCCTTAATCAAAAAAGTTGTCGTACCAGTCTTTTGCGCGGTGGACACATCAATTTGAACATTGGCTTTGCTTATAACGCGTTTAACGATATCCGCCATTGTAGTTTTGTTACCAAATTCTCTCTTTTGTAATTGTTGAGATGCAAGCAGCTCAAGTCTTTCAGTGATAGTACCTGGTTTTTTGAAAACTGGATTACGAACAAGTTCGGCAACAGAGTGATTACCCCAAACAGACGGCTTTGAAGAAGTGGTCGTCGAAGAAAGTGATGGGAAATCCGCGTCATATGATGGAGTAGTATTCGTTGGATGTTCATTCTCGGCGGTAACTTCACTTTGAGCATGTAGTTCTTGCTCTTCGTGAGCTCTTTGGAGCTGTACAGAAGGGGGAAGCAACGTTTCTAAGGGCTCCGGGAGGCTAACGTTAATAGGATGTTCAGTGGTCGACATTGTGGAATAAAATCGGTTGTGGGATTAATCCGTTGTCCGGTGACCAGTTGATGTTGACAGAGAAGAGGGGAGAGTGGCTTGTTTGCTGAAGCCAGCGTTGCAACTTTATGGCGTTTCAGAACGATTTTTGCGAAGAATATTCGAAATGGGAAATTTCCAATCCGGTGAGGCAGCCGAGATGACGGAAGTAATTATGCAGGTATATATATTTGTTACCAAACCGTTGAAATACAATCTGGTTGATTCTGGTTTCAAGGCTTTTTTTTTTTTTTATAAAAAAAAAAAATGCACAGATTCTAATTCTAAATTTTAATTGGTATTGAAGCCGCACATCATAAATTTTTGTTAAACACAACGAAATTTATGTCGGCTGTTTTAGTATGTAACAATATTCGCCAACTTTATCCATTATAGTAAAACGAAAGTTGATCATCTTTCGGAAGCCACATTCACACATTCACACATTCCTTCCTTCTTCGGACGTTGTATAAGTAATGTCGCAAACCTATTAAATATTTCTGTTATTCCTTGATTTGATTAAAAAGATATCGTATTTTTCAAAGAAAAAAAATTTTTTAGATGTTGAAATAACCTATCACTGGTAATGCATGTATAAAGTATAACTACTGTATATACAGATTTGTTTATTAATTTAATGTACATCTCATTGAGGATAGTATGCACAAAGATTTTTTTAGTCAAAAAACTGACAAGTTAGTAACAAGTAGATTCACTCGAGCATTATATACTTTACTATACATACATGTGAAATTTAAGTCAAACTAGATATTTTATCAACAAACTCATCTTAAGCCTCTAAGTTTAATCGTAGGAATAAATTTGATATTTCGTGAGTATTTCGAGTAAAAGATTATTCTAGTGATTTATATTACAATTGTTACATTCATTTTTTATTTTTTTTTTTGAGTACCCGAAGCTAGATTAGATCGTAGTTTATTAATCAATTGAAAACATAAGTATATTTTCACTCGAGTAGCATAATACATACTACAGCTAAACATTTCTATCAAATCTAACAAACTCATCATAGGCAATAATAGCCTCTAAGTTCAGCCTTGAGGACAATATTTTGTTCCATAATGATCTTTTGGATAAATATCCTTCTAGTTCATCATTTTATTATTAACAGGTTGTCACAGCTATATGTTCTACCAAGTTATTGAAATACTGGAAACTACAAAAAGAATAGATTAAAAAAAAGAAAAAAAGAATATTCAAATAGATTATAAGAAAACAAAAAAAATAAATAAATAAATAATATTCTTTAACTTTTTTTAAAAACTTATTTGTCAAAATTTCTTTTTAATAAAAAATACTTGATTAAGATATTCTTTCTTCTTCTAATCATCTGAGAAACTTATTTATTTTTTAATCTTGATTTTCTTCTTATTTTTTTTTTTTTTTAATCCGCAATCATGCCACAATGGCGTGTCTTTATTGAGATATTGAGAAATACCTAAATATTTTACAGACTTTCACAAAGTGACTAACTTGTCATTGTACATTATTAGTTAAAG